AAAGGCGAACGAAAAGAGAACGCGGAACAAGAAGCTAAGCACAGGTAACGAAAAAACAAGATTAGGACGTAAAGAGGTAGGACAGTGAGGCAAATGCTAAAAATATTACGACAAAGGAAACCGATCAAAATACAATTTGCACGATCTATTTCTTCTGTACCTATGCCCCTTTCTCCCCTTATACATATATTTTAACGAAGGATCGTCTCTTATTGTCCACCGTTACACCAGCCGTCAAAAGTCGTTACGAAGCTACTAATTCCGTGCGAGTCTGTAAACGAAGGGGTTAAACAGAAAATATTTCGAGCGAGAGTGTGTGAGAAAAAGAGCGCGCGCGAACGGGAAGTGTGAGAGCGAGAAGAAACGAGAAAAGAAAACATTTGCATTGTTTTGCAAAGTACAGAGACTTAACAAAAAAAAAAAAAAAAAAAAAAGTGAAAAACAGGAATGAAAAATAAAACATTGAAAAAGATACTCCCTTTTCCGTAGACCCTGGTGGGACGATGCAATTGAACTGACTCACCCTCGATCTCACTTGATTTTTAATTATGCCTCGACAACAGCCTGGCCTGATATTAGTAAATTCATATTGAAGAATGTTAAATAAGGTAATAATAATAATAATAATAATATAATAATAATAATAATAAGAGTAAGAATATTAATAAATTTGTTATATTTCTACGCTGGGCTCTTTTTCGAGGCAGAAACGTTGATCGATATGAAAATCCCTGTTAACTGGTGAGCACATAATCGCCGCATTGTAATATTATTAACATTATTACGTTATTATGAAATTGTTGAAATAAATGAAATGAAAATAAACGTCTTCCATTTCCTTCTTCTAACACTTTCATTGCCCATCGATTGTCAAATTATTTTTTCAAATTTCTATATAATTCTATTCATTTCAATTGTCCTCGAATTCAATCAAAATACGTTTTTAATTTATTATTAAAAAGTATACGATGCACGTAGAACTACAGGGGTATCCGGCTCGTTTCATAATCTTCATTTCCTTGTAGAGAGAACTGTGGAACGATCTATTCCAAATTCTAACAACGAGAAATGAATTTTTTGCACGATTGTACTCGAAGCGTTACGATAAAGTATAAATTCGCGACTCAACAATCCTTGTTCTTGTTTTTTAAACGTTAAATAAAGGCAATATAAATTTGGGGATCGATCATTCTTTTCTCTAGTAGACAAGAGATTTAACTGCACTTAGCACGACCGAGTTTGTACTGCAAATGCAATGAAAAAATGTTATTTTTAAGATTGTGACAAGGCAAAGATCAAAGAAAATTTACACTTACATTAATCACTGTGTGACGTTTCCAGATGTAAGATGTGTCCTTTTAAAAAAGAGTATCGACGTTTCATCAGCATTTCAGGCAGCATCATCAGGATGGGGTAAAATAGTATAATATAATGACGAGCACCTTATGGTAATCTTATTTAATGTATACATATTCATTCACCAATTGATTGCCAGTATCACAATTGTCGAGAATGATTTCGTTAACATTTAATATATTCCAATGTCACAAAATAAATTTCTAGCTCAAAAACTCTCAGAAAATGAATTAATTTGCATTCAAACATGAAAGAAACCGAGATAGATAAGTAAGTAAAAATGATAATGAAATATAACAACGATTTTGCAAGCGATCGTCAACATAATTTTGTGCAAAATAAAAAGTGATTTAATTTTTATTTCCTTTAACTGAATATTAGTGGACGGTGGAAATATATGGCTTTAACTCTCGAATTCAGTAATGCGGAATTTACTAAATTTGTTTATTTTAATTGGAAGGAATGAGCAAAAGTTTCTGTCGATTAATGGCGTTTATGTTTCATCGACATTGCACGCATATGCGTTTATTTTCAACGCGTTTCACTGATTGTTGCAACGCTGACAGAATAATTCAATTTATTTTATTTCAACATTATTCGCGAACGGTTACGTTTACAGCTAGATTAGAACAAACTTTCAGCCATTCTACGTGAGAATCAATGAGAGAAATTAGTTCACTTTCGACCAATTTATCGTACGATTTACTCGTCCAAACGCGGTCGAACGAAGTCATCGAAATTGGAAAAGAAACTTAAGAACTCACAAGTATATAAAATGACATTAACCCCAGAATTCTAATGCTTTTTTTATAGTCGCATTTATTATTCTTATTTATAATAATTATAAATGTATATGTCCATAATAGTTATTACATTTTTAAAACTTAAAGAATTATCGTCGTATTTGACATCGAAGTCTAGAGGAAGGTAGAAAAAACGTAAGAAACGTAAAAATTACATACATTAGTATTCTAGGGTTGATTGAAGATGTCAGTAACAAAACCTTGTACACTTTAAATTCCTTCCTGTACTCGCGCTTGTTGTACCGGTTTAGGAAAAGGTCAAGCGTAAGACAAAATAATGTCACGAATTCTCTGATACAAAAACTTGCCCAAACACTTATGTACGTAACCTTTCAGAGGACTCTAAAATAATATTGTAACACCGATTTCCACGGCTGAATCGCGTATTTAGCACTCCGAATCCGATATGCTACCGTTAAATATTGAAATTACACTCGAACGACGTACACTCGCGATCCGTGTAGCTAGGAAAATGAACTGCGTCTCATTTTTGAGGAGTGGGACCAACTAATATCGTGCAAGGCGGTGGGAGAAGCAAAGAGCGTTCCTACTGGTCCCATCGCTTCTCCCTCCACTTCACATGGTAACAGCGGGACTCAAGTCAAGCTGCCTTCCCCCACTCCTCGAACATGGAATTTAGCGTATTTTTCTGACCACGCTGCTCACGATTTACGTGCACTAAATTTAGAAATAAAATTACATTAAATTCGTATCGAATTGGAAACTGACATCTTCAATTGCACGTTGCAAAATGTCTTTAAAATCGTCTCATTATGATTCTCGTACACAGTCATTCGTCGCATTCACGAATGAACAAGGCTATAAAATATATGGAATTAAAATGTATAGAAATCAATAAGCATAATCTAGATACACCATTCTCAGGGTCTAAACGCTAGTTATTGTATCTTGTTCAAGGAAGACACGTGTCATTCTATCGAGGAATTATATTCGTCACTCTAATCGCGAGCAGTATTTTCATACACATCAAGTTTCCACACAAGCGTCAAGGACAACGAATCGCAAACGTTCGACGATGAGTCTCGTTAAAATCACGGTTCTCCTTTGTTATTTTGTTTTATTTTTTTAATATACTTTACACTCGACCCAAACTTTATCCACCGAATCGTATTTCCTTCGTCTTGACGCACGAATACTCGTAAAGTCCGGGTCGCCCTTCCGATCCTTTCGGGAAGTTCGATTTACAATTTACCTTCGAGTATAAAATTATCAAAATGACATGCGATTGCTTCCAGAGTGATTCTTTCGAGTCGTCGATGTAAATGAAAATTTCGATTCAGAACGAAATCGATGTTCAAGTACAGTTTTAAAATTGCTGCGCTTTCGCTTCGCTGTGATGGAGATTCGCGTAATAAAAATCAAAGCTTCATTCATAATATGTACAATAACATCACTTGTAACAATGGGGGCTGATCCGCGAGGCACAACTGTAGGCAATATATACGAGAAAATCAACGACCTTTAACCAGCAACCATAAACATTCTTTGCAAGTGGAGCAAACATTCTATTAGAGAAAACATGACCGTTTAACAATCCTTTGCACAATATACATGTAATGTGATTATGATATCTTCGTATATTGATGTACGATACAATTCTTTTATTTTTTTATCCTTCCTTTTATAACGATTAAGAACGCAGGGCCGTGACATTGTACTTCTAATGTGCGCTTTCTCGTAGTGTTATTAGCAAACGTGGCCGAAAATACGTTCAATTTTTCTTCCTAAAAACCATTGGAGAAACGTAAACACTTGATTGCAAACGAAGTCTGTAGAAAGAAGATAAGATCAGCGTATTTGAAGGATCTTCAAGGTTCCCTTTTCGCAGAAAAAGAGTTAAAAATTTCAAGTACATCCGCCAATTGGCGAAACGAATTGTCACGACCCTTCGATATTGCGTCGGGATGATTTATCAAACACGAGTTTCTGCTAGATTACAATAATGGCAACGGTAGTTCGCACGATTAATATCAAAATTATTTGATAACTACGCTCTATGCTTATCCATTTTTCGATAAACCAAGTTACTCGTCTAGATCGATGGAACATTAATTTAAAGGTAAATACCTAACTGGATTTGCATTTATTTCGCATTCACTTCAGCATGCTCGTGATAAAGGTTTTCCAAGGAAGACAATTAATCGTGGAGGCAGCCATGATCAACTCTAAGACATTATAAACGTAAGTTCGTCGCGCTTCGCCGACAAAACTTCTTCAAGTAAACATCTGGTTACTTACAGAATGAAACAATTCGAAATCGCAGAAGTTTACGTTGTAAAATTTCAATTTCAAAAACTTCAATCGTAAGTAATAAACAGTGGGGAATTTAACAGATTACTGTTTTAGTTTATTGGCAATACTCTAATACTTAATTTAGTTAATTTAAGTGGTACGTTCCTATGCTACGAGTGCCATTGAGCTTTTTTCCTTGACAAGTTCATAAATACATTTCTTCAACGTTGATAGTCGTTCACGAGTATAAAACGAAGAAACGATTGATCGTTACAAAAGATCGATGGGAATGCTGAGCGTTTGAATTCCGACTTCCATGGCATCGTTAAACACATGGCCGTGAAAGTAGCATGTACGCGTAAGTGTAAAATAGAAAATCGAAACTGTACGAAAATTAGCTTTGCGCCACGTTTATTAATTGTGACGTTTCGTCGTTCTCTATAGTATGAATAATAATAGAAAATAATACCGTTAAAATTCGAATCGAGTGCTCGATACGACCTGCAGTACATTTTCATCGAAACAAGGGAAACGAATTGAAGAAATCGTGTAAGAAAAATGTTTGCGATAACGGTACGCTGTTCGTAATTACTTTCCACGATAGATCTCTATTATGTGATCCTGGTCCACGTATTCGAAAATATGCGGTGCGTCCATCAGGATCCCGATGGTACCCGCGGATGTTACGATGAAGAAAATGAAAAGCTGCAGCCGATCGATCACCATCGCCACGTATTTCCAATCTTCTCTTGTCTGCAAAAAGCAAACGAATTTTTTTAATCACTTGAAAATATTGAAATTTATTTTTATTCCATTCTTTCTCCACATTTATCACTGACCGTAACTTGAAACTTGCGACTCTGCATTACTTGAAATAAAAATTTTAATAGCGAACAGTATGTTTGTCAACATTATTATTGATTGTTAAAAAGGAATTAGAAAATATAATAATGGCGAAGATAGAATTTCTTTAATTTCAAATAACACCCTAAAAACGTTTGATATTTAAATTTCATAAGTTGGTAACTTCCTATACTTAATACTAATTTGAAAAAAATTAATTATTAACTCTTTTAAAATCTAATCTGTATGAGAAAGAGATTGTAAAGTATCGCCTACTAAAAAATTCATAAGATTCATATGACAAAGAGGTAGAGGTATCAAAAATAACGCATCAAGTTTTCATTCAACTCGCCTGTATGTACAAGTCCTCGTTCCTCAAATGTTCAGCAATGAACTCAACAGCCTCGGTAGCTTTGCTAGCCTCCGGACTAAGCAACACGGAATCAGAGCTTTCGGATTCTCTTCTGTCAGCCAAACCCTCTCCGCCAGCAGCGCTAGAGCCGCTGGTAGTGTGGTGGACCTTCCTGTTAATCTTGCAATTCGGATGGTGAAAATCGGACAACTCCATTACTTCAATCTTCGACTTGGCCAACGAGGTTGGCAGATGTTTCGAGAACTCTGTCGGGCTTCCTGAGTAAGTAGAAGTCGGCAACGCCACGTTCGGGATCTCCATCATCCACCTGAGACGAGTCTTTTTGGGTCTCCTCATGAACAGGATGGTCGGCAGATACTTGAGGAATATTTTCCTGATCAACTGCGGCATCCTGTGCGTTCTGGGTCCACGGAAGTTCCAATTGATGATGATCACTGTCACCAGAATACTGACGGTGTTCATGATGAAGGTGAACAAGAGATATTTGGCGATCAGAGGGAGCACCAGGGACGTCGGAGGAAGGATCTTGCTGACCAGCAACAGAAACACGACCAACGAGAGGAGAATGCTAATTCCAAGGGTCACTTTCTCGCCAGCTTCTGCCGGAAGATAGAATACCAGCACGCAAAGGAAGGAGATCAGAACTGTGGGGAGGATCAAGTTCACCGTATAGAACAGGGTCTTGCGCCTGATTATGATGTAGAAGGTGATGTCCGTTTCCGTGGGGAATTCACCGTGGTACGTGTTCAGATACGCTGGGACGTTGATGATGTCCCAAGTGCCGCTTTTCCAGTAATCGGAGAGGTCCACAAAATTCTTGTTGTTGTACAAAGCTAGCGAGACCTGGTCACCGTTGAAGGTCCACGATCCAAACTTCATGATGCAGGTTTGTTGATCGAATGGGAAGTACGTGACATCGATCGTACAGGAACTCTGGTAAATTGCTGGTGGTACCCAGAGAACATCGCCGTTAGGATAAATTAAAACGTTGCTCTTGTATCGCACTTCGTAGTTACCATCGGCGCTGAAAATCGGGCGTAGCGTTAAATCTTTTCATTAAAATGTAGTTATTTCGTCTATAGTTTAATAACAGGTTGGTATTAGATATAGAAAAAATTCTTCCTGGTGAATCAACTTGAGAGAACAAGTGTTAAAAATGGAATTGTATTAATCAATATAAATCAATGTAAAATTATAATTGGTCTTAACAAATGATAATGGATTTGTCTGTGATGGCAACAAATCTGATTACTGAAATAATCAATTCCAAATTTATAAAATTTTGTAGACTTGCTGTAATAATGATCATTATAAGGGCAGCGTTAGAAATAAAGAAATAAAACATACTTGTTAAATAATACGATATCTGGTTTCCAAACTTTATCAGGTGGTAATCTGAGAACACCAATTCCGCCATAGTCCGCCTCGTCCCATCGTAATTGATAGTCCGTCCAGATGAATCTCAACCATACGTTCGACTTCATGATTTGATTTTTCTCATTCTAGAGAATAATTTGTATTACTACTTATAATCACTTATGTACTCTACGGACCATAAATGACACCATAACGTTAACAAAATGTAAATAAAAGATCATAATATTGTTTTTAATAAATAAATCGAATACATACATATATATTATTTTTCTTAATTTTAATACCAATACTTCTCAAATTTTATTTCACATTGATAAATATGTATGTTTCTTTAATTTTTCTACTATTAATTATATAAATAAATTAAGAATGATTTAACCCTAGAATAGTAAAAATTAAAGTGCTTCAACGAGTCGTCATCTTAATAACACGAGAATAGATTCAAACGAAACAATATAGTTTGAAAGAACCAATTCACAAAACGAAACACACCCTTAATTAATACGGACAATGCACGTCAATTATCAAAGTGATTCGTGGAGCCCTTAAGTTAGATTAAAAACAACTACAACTGACGTTTCGAAAACTGAGAATATCGTGGGGTTTCGCAGCAACACCTTGCCTCTAAGAAAAATTCGAATACTGAACGAAAAATCTCACCACGTTGATCAGCTGCACAAAGGCCAGTCCAAAATTCACGTGCACTTTCTCCGTCATATTCTGCACGGGTCTGATAAGTTTGTTGTATCCTCTAAATAGATCTCGCACCAACCTTTCCTCATCTTCGGAACAGAGACCTGAGAAACGACGACGAATTAATGTTCGTTCCAGGGACTCGTTAACGACACGCGTAATATCGTGCTGATATCGCGACTGGATCTTACCAACGCAGAATATCGTGGAGATGAAGAGTAAACGCGCGAGCCGCAAACAAAAATTCATTTTGAGCAGGTTTCAGATGTCCCACCCGCAGACACCCGTACTCCACAGCCACCGCCGCAGATCAATATGAGGAAGCAGACGCTGGCCAATAAGTGTATTTCCTTTCTTGCCGTCCGATCCGCCGGCACACACGCTGTTCCATGATTAACAAATTAATTAGCAAATCCTTTCGTTGTCGTTTACTCCGTTCGAGACGAAGTTCAAGTCCCTCTGTGCCTTTTTCGTTCGCCTATTTCGATGCACTGTCCCTGTGCCAGTCGATAGGGCGATGTTTGTACTTGGAACGCGTGACAGGGGTGCGTTTCGAAGACCAACGTTTGGGGGGTAACTGGGCAGGGTTGTCCACGGGCGACACGCTCTACAGATATGCAACCTAGTTGGTCTATGCGCTGTACCGCGATCTGCTTTATCGAAAGATTCTGGACAAGTCGGGGGTGTAAAGACAGGAACGTACTCTGCAGAGTATCGAAAGGGCGCATTCAGGTGACAGTCTGTTTTAATGTCTCTGTCTCTGAATTCTTTTTTGAGAGAAAAAGCAAGCTAGATTTAAGAAAATTAATTAATAAACACTGAAAGTGATATTTATTAAATCGTCACTACCTTGATTCATTTATATCGAGGAATAGAATTAAGTTCAAACTAATATTGTATATGTCAATATAATTATTTGAATATTTATGTAATCCTCCATTAGTTCATTATTTTTTAAATGCTTTAAAGGAAAATTGATTTCCATTTACCAATTTGGTAAAAATCAACATTAAATAAAATAATTCAATCGAGATTGAGAGTCCGTTTAAGGGTTAAACACGTGAGAATTAGACAATTATAAATGAAACTTGGCATTGTTTAACATTATTACGCGATAGTTTAAACAATTCTTAATAATATGTTGCGTATGAATAATGCAAAGGGTTACCAGTTTACGTAAATATTAATTTCTGGCGAAATAATTTGTCGGGACGTCCGACTTATGATTAAGATGGCTGACACTGCTCTCCCCACTCTTCCGTCACCTTACACGAGGTATACGTAGGACACATGTGGCCGAAATTTCTCAGTCTCGTGTCGCCCTCCGGGGAGGGCTGACCTCGCGAATACTTCCGCGTTTCGGGATCAACCTCAACTGACCAGGGGGACCAAGGGGGACCAGCGGGGACCACTGCTGACCACTGCTGACCAGAACTGACCACTACTGACCAGTACTGACCAGTTGGCCAATGGTGAGAATGTGATGACCAGCGGTGAGTAATGTTTAAATTTCCCATTTCTCTCTCTCATTCTACTGATTCAAGGAGTACCCGTTATTTTTTGAGTACCTCTCGACGACAAATTTATTTTGTTTGATTTACGCGTTTATGTATTCGGTACTATGGATGTTTCCCCCCCGTTTAGGTCGACTGAAAAAGATTCACATATAATATTTTCTTTTTGTTTGAATTCCAAGAGTATTTGCGAGCAATCTTTTAGCAGATTATAAGCAAATGTGCTGTAAGTTCTGGCTTTTAATGAGATTAACGCTTCATGCGTTCCTCTGTTTACTATGGGTTTGTGATATTGGAAAACGATGGACTAAGTTTAGTACGTGATGCATCTTTTTGTGTCCACTATCCAGAAAATTAATTTCTTGATGATTTGGTTGGCTTTCTAATCTGTTCATGTGGTTCATAATAAATTCCATAATTTCTTCCTTCACGGTTTGTATTCTGGGGCCTTGGTAAAGTGTCTCGTACGGGGATGTGTTTGCAATTACTCTTAGTATGACTCTGTAAACTGTTCTGCCTTTTGAGGTAGTGAGTTTCGAACCCCATTACTTGGCTATTTCTATTCCTCTATTATTTTGAAACCTTTGTGCTGGCTTACGACTTTCACACGAAACGATTCTGAATGGAATATTTTCATCGATCTTTCGTTTCTTCTATCTTTCAATTGTTCCTTGATCTCACATCTGTCTTTAACAAGAACCAACCTAACTCAGCCCACTACATCAGCACAACAATTCCATTACTTTGTTTAGATTCCTTGGTGTATAAATTTTCTATCACATGTCACTAATGCAAATATCAGTTTTGATTTCAGTTTGGACTCAGATTAATCGCAAGGGCATCGAAGGAAGACGTCACAACCGACGAGGGATTTTTATTTCGAGGTTGTTTAGACTTAAGCTTCGTCGCGAATTTCAAAATTAACGTCGAAGATCTTTTTATTATACATATCTCCGCGTCCTACCAAGCAATTATTCAATAAGCAGCTTCTCTCCCTTTCGTTTCCTCGTTCCCTGCTTCGATCGCCGCTGTTTCATTGAACGAAACACGTGATCGGCCGTCCAGTTGTTCCGAAAGATCTAATCGCCTTCCTTTGGTAGCTCGATCGAGGGAAAATGGTACTCTGCTGGAAGGTGTGGAGTTTCCGTATTCTGCGGAAACGCATACCTTCCAGCGGAAGTCGTTCCTGTCTCAGGTACTCTCTCTTTGTCAGACAACTTGTGTCGGGTCCTTCGGGCTCCCGGCGGGTTGCGTTGGAGCAATGGAGACCTCGACTCGGGGATGCAGCCGTCCGTTTTCCTATACAGATCGAATTAGCAAGGGCAGTAGGTTCGATCCTCGGATCCACTGCACGGTTCAGCATCGTGTCGCGTCGCGTCTTCCACAATTAGCTTCATCCTCTTTCAATCGAAATAATTGCTTGGTACTTTGTTTCCTTCTATCGTCTAAATTCTAGTTTTAACTGTTAGCTTAAACTTCGACGTTAGTTTTAAGTCCCTAGTCTATCTGCGTATGCCAAGTAATTATTAAACAAGTAGCTTCTCTCGACTCGTTCTCTCGTTTATCGCTTCGGTCACCTCTGTTTCCTTGAACGAAACATATGATCGGCCGTGCACTTGGTCCGAAAGATCTAATCTCTGTCCCTTGGTAGCTCGATTGAGGGAAAATGGTACCTCGCTTGAAGGTGTGGAGTATCCGTTTTCTGCGGAAACCCATACCTTCCGGCATCCATCCGTTTTCCTGTTGAAATCGAGACATCAAGGTCAGTGGATTCGATCCCAAGATTCGCTGCACGGTTCAGCATAGCGTCGCGTCGGGTCTCCCACGATTTAGCTTCGTCCATCTTTCAAACGAAATAATTACTTGACATAACTAAACTAGAAGATCGAAGGAACTTTGCTTCCTTCTATCTCTCTAGTTTAGTAATCTAGTTTCTAACAATGTAAAAGGGAGATTGATGGAACTTGAATTCCATCCATCTCTCTTCGGGTCTCCGCTCGCAGCAACCTCCTCGTGGTGAGACCTGGTAATCGGTGTTACCTACGAAGAACTTCTTCATCGTGGGTAACACCGAGCTAATGGCTGCTTATTTTAAATACAGGATAAAATTGTAAATAATAGCAATCCTGCACATCATGTAAAGTTATTAACCATAGATGAGATATAGAATAGACTATGCATTTTATGGAAATTGATGTGACACAGACTGAAATACCAACCTGGAAAAAGTCAATGATTTTCGAACCCTTTCGATCAAAGTACGGAGATCTTGAGAACTACTTTGTACTTTGTCTGTGATTAAATGACCATAGCATTTACCTGTCCGTAAACCTGAGGGTGTAATCGTTTCATTCCTTTCGCCGCTAGTTGGCGCCTCAATGACTGAAACAGCGTTCCATTAAAACGATTTTCTGTTGCTTACATTGACAATAAAGTATTATTAAAAACTAACGCAGATATGTAATGGTAATAAAATAATGCACTATTTATATTAATATAAGAAACAGGATTAGATAAAAATCTGCGTAAATCTTATTCGACAATGTAAATAGATTTAAACTACAAGTCATAGTTTTATGTATATTTGTTTCTCTTTTTGTCATTATCCGAACTATGGGAATTATTCAGATAATTTAAACTATCCGGATTATTCTATCGCTATTGTAAATATTTCAGTATACCCCTTGTCAGTCTTTGCCATCGCTCCATAGATTAATTACAGTGAAATTTCCTGCGTTCTGTACTTAACGTGGATTCGTCCATCGATGGAGTTCCGAAGTTGCTCTCATGCAAGTGGAACTATCAGAGTTACAATTATGGGTTATGCCGAAACAACTAACTTTCCGGAAACAGATATAGATCGGACACGAAACTACAAGGAGGCAACAATACCCATCTGAGCTTGCAAAATCGTTCTGAAGGATCTGGTTACCTTGCTTTTGGCAGGTTATTAGGGTACATTTTGAGGTCTTTTGACATGTATCTCTTCCGTCTATCACGTTTACAAACGCTTATATTTACGCAAATGTACAGTGAGTATTAAGGTAAAGTAGAGTACAGAAACATTGACAAATGGCAGAATTTATTTTGAACAACGCACTTAACTTGAACATCTTAATATCTAGATCGATCTAATTTTGTTTTAATCATAATATTCAACGTCATCGAAATCAGTGAGGATGTGAGAGAAAGTGTTGAAAGATGTACACGAACCTCACTTAAAAGATCGTTCCTTTTTATTACTTGTGGATGCTTTTAATCTAACTTAACTCTGTACACTGTTACCGTGAAATGAAAAATTCCATTAAAAAAAATTTAGAATTGTTTATGCTTAGGAAAAAGCGAGCGTGGTCTGACGCGTAACGAATTCTGAAATATATTACATGCATGGGTACACGGCAGAAACTAAAATTAAAAAACAAGATTGAAGTGTACCTTTCAATTAGAAAAGAAACGAAAACATACAATATAAAGGCAAAATTTAGAAACACGAGTGAAGCGTGCTTTCCAATTAAAATACAAACGTGCATGTAAATCTGTAGCATTATGAATACCTGCGTGGCATGCAACAAATTCATTCGTTGTTTGTCTATGACCTATATCGTTTGAAATTTAGCACCAAATTTCTAGAACAAACGGGCATAAATTCGTGTGTTGTACATATTACGAAACTTAATATGAACCATAATATTAATATCAATATTTGCGTCACATGATTTGTAATTATCGTACAACGATGCAATGATTGTTCAATGTTGTCAATATAATTTGGT